GTGGTTCAACTTTATAGCCATTCCACTCAAAAAGTGTTGGTACAGCACCTTTAATAAGCCGCCTTCGACCATCGAGGGTTGTTGGCTCTATGAGTTGATCACTGGCAAAGTGTCTGCAGCAGACCCTGGTGTGAGAGGTAATCGTGAAATGATCCCGGCGTATGTTTACCAGCCATTGTCTTCTCAAGACAGAATGGGTTGGAAAGGCATGAAAACTTAGTATGCCGTTAAATTTGTCTGAAGCCGAACAAAGTGGGACACAGCAATGCTCGGAGTATTTCTTCTCCTGTTTTTGAAAATGTTCTGTTTTAAATACTTTCCTTTTTATACTCATTCTGAAGCGACATTAGCATAGCAACCGATAGATAAACAAACATACCGGAAATGCCCAAGCGGTAGTATTTGGAAACGGAAATACGTCACATGCCCTAGTGCAAGTAGTCCATTAATTTGTTTCTCAAATGAAAAGCTACTATCAAAGAGCACTGCCAGATTCTTTGCAAAGGGATTTCTGGACTTTTCCAGAGGAAACAAGGTCAACCTTCAGAGACGAGCGAGGGTCAGAAGGTCCAGATAGTACAATCTCAGTTTTTTGGTCATTTATATTCAAAAAATCTAATGAAAACCACAATCTTTTTAAGAGAAAAGTAAATTTGAGAATTATCGGCATAACAGTGAAATGAGATTCCATGTTTTCTAAAATTAGAGCCTAATGGGAGCATGTAAAGGGAAAAGAATTCTGGGCCCAGGATAGGTCCTTAAAGGGACCCCACATGTAAGGGGGTGCCCTTACATGTGGGGATGAAGGTTTGGATGAGATGGACCGAGTGAAGGCAAAAAGGGCCAACAGGTGCTCAGCCTCTCTGAGAACTCCTCCAAGACTGCTGGAAAACCATTTAAACTGACTACATCATGAAGCTCATTCAGAGAATGCCAAGTGCAAAGCAGTAATCAAAGCAAAGGGTGGCTATTGTAAAAAATCTAAAATATGGTTTGAGTTATTTGAGCACACTTTTTAGTTTACTACATAATTTCATATGTGTTCATTCATGTTTTGATTCCTTCAGTGAGAATCTACAATGTAAATAGTCATGAAAATAAAGACAAACAATTAAATGAGAAGGTGTGTCTAACCATTTGATTGGAATTGTATTTTAAAGGTTTAAACACTCACACTGACTCACATGACAGTACAACTTCAGTTTTCTGAAGTTCAAATGCCTTGAGGAAACTGAAAGCATTTTATTTAAAGCAAAATACAAACCTAAGCTGTTGATTTTTCAATGGAATCAAAATAACTCATAAATATTTAAAAGTACAAGGAGTTATCTAAATTATTGTCTTTGTTGAACTGTCACTTACTGGAAATTTACAGTGTTCTTGAAATTAGTCTTCCTGCTCAACAGAATTTACCAGGAAAGCTCAGAGGTTCCCAGTACTCAGTCCATTAAACGGCATCAAGCAGACATGGACTTCATATTTAAGGTTTTTATATGTACATCTATTTTAAATCTATTCTGTTAACAATTATCTCCATGCTGCTCTTTGTAGAATAGTGGGTTGTCAGTGTTTCCAACATAGATCTGATGTTTGGCTCCATAATTTCAGTCTGATTGGGTCATTCATAATATTCTGTTCCAGCTGCTGGAGGAGAACATCATCACATTTGTAAAGAACGAGTTGAAAAAGATCCAGAAGGTTGTGTGCCCAGATTACCACCAATGTTTGGAGAAGCAGAGAGAGATGGGGGGTGAAGAAGAAGAAGAACAGACGAGGAAGAACAGCAGAGAGGCACTTCTGAAGATCACACTGGACTTCCTAAGGGTGATGAAGCAGGAAGAGCTTGCTGAGCGTCTGCAAAGCAGTAAGATAATTTATTTGACAATTTAATCTGTTGTGTAAGTGTAATTAATGCCTCAACATGGACCAAACATGCTCTCATTCGATCCTTGGGGTATTTAAATTATGTGCATTTTGAAACACATGAACTTATATTCTACTTTTTTTTTCTTTTTTCTTAGAACTTTGTGCTGCAGTTTATCAGCGTCACATCAAGTCCAAGCTAAAGAGGAAGTTTCAGTGTGTGTTTGAGGGGATCACTAAAGCAGGAAACCCAACCCTTCTGAATCAGATCTACACAGAGCTCTACATCACAGAGGGAGGGACTGCAGAGGTCAATGATGAACATGAGGTCAGACAGATTGAAACAGCATCCA